GCCAAAGAATATGTTTTTAATCACGATTATGTTTTTGTTTTCTTCATGTGAAATAAAATTTATAGTGAGTGTATATAAATTAACTAGTAGGAATAAGAACCAAACCACCCTTGACTTTTCTTTCCTTAAAACATTGGACTATTATGTTTTTGTTTTCTTCATCCTTCTAAAATCGTTTAGAATCCACCGGCTAGTACTTTTCCCCAAATATACCATAAATATATGTGAACCGTGAACCTCAATTTGTCGACCATATGTGTTTTATTTATGTAAACAATAAATTTAACACTTGAAAAGATAGTTATGAGAATTTTTGAACATACATTTGAATTTGATGACATGGCACAGTAGAGCATAAGTTTGAGAGCTTACTGTCCAAATGTATCAAAATATGAGTTATAACTCAAGAAAAGGGAAATCATAACATGTTGAAAAATTCAATAGAAACTTTAGGTTTTTAGAGGCAGCACCACATATGGTATGTAATCATAGCATTAGAGACAATTGAAGAATAACACAAGTTTGATTGTGTAGATTGTAATGGCAGGTGACAAGAAGAAGAAGGAGAGGGACACAAAGAGAATAATTCTCCCTTTACAGGCTTTGTATATGTTCTCTTATCCATCAATCCATAATTGCAATTTTCGCAAAATCTTCTATACAATATCTGAATATTTGGGTCCGGTCTAGTGTCTTTGTAGACCTACACAAAACTTAAAACTATGCCCATTTCATTATTATTATTTGTAAAATGTAGAGAAAAATCCAGAAACATTTCTAAAATTTGTTTCTTTAGTTCTGAGGTCCAAAGTCATAACTTCTTTTGCATGTGTTGTGGAGGTGCATGAGAGTATGTGCACTGGTTCTATATATTTATCGAAATGCACAAAACCAATCTACATAAGAATTATAGTTTGTATGAAACTTTATACACATCGCCAGTTTTGAGTCATGACCAGACTAATAATAACCTTTTACCTAACAAATGATCTCATCGAAGAGAAAAATCAGACACTTACCTAATGTTCCAGGGAAAAAGCAGTGGTAAGGTATAATGGGGATTCAGAAATATGTGAAGAGTTATCAGAATGAACATCATTACATAAAAGAATGAAACCAATACCAAAATGTTGATAACACTTTGAGGAAATGAAGGAACCCGGAAATGAAAAGGCTGCGGCAAAGTTAATCGTGGGTCCAATAATACTTATTCAAGTTATTCATAGCAGATAAATGTTTTAAGGAAAATAAGCATAGAAAGCAAAAAAAAAAAAGGGAAGATATTTCTTTGATGGAAATTGTATAAGGCACTTGGATACTTTTTTTTGGTCAACAAAGGATTTTCATTACTTCATTAGAGACATACATCAGATAAAACACCAATTGTCCTTTTCGCAAAGGAATCAATAACTTGGTTTTTTTTTATCTAGAAACATGCCTAAATTCAATAAAGAGAAACAGGGGAACAAGTGCTGCAATGTCTTGCAAAATCCCAAAGAGTTTCTTGATCGGTTACTTGGATACTCTAGTAATACAAAATGGGGAGTTGGGGACACAAAATAGTAGATTAAATCCCTTAAACCAAGTAATAATCTCATTGACCTTCTCTTTGGTAATATTTTGGTGTAAGGGGTTGGTTTGCATTCATGATTTGGTAGCATACCAAACCGGTTTGGTTAACCGATAGTTATAGAAAGTTATTGCTTCTACTAACTCA